GTTCATTGAAGCGTTGCCAGGTTCAGGTTATGCGTGTGCTCAGAACTGTCATTGCCTGAGCGCTTTGGCAATTAGCTCCCCCCTTCCTTCCTTTGGATCCAGTAGCACCTACATCCCTTGGAGCATGAAGGGGTAAATTTGCTCTAGTGCAGCCACCACATACACAACAGCATTAAATTCAGTAGAAACCACAGTAACAACCAGCACTTCTGTGAGAAAGTGCCTGCTGGCAGTGGTGGGATAGTCTCCTTTTACACATACAAACCATTCCCAGGTCTGAGCTTACTGCTAGGCATGTTTTCTTGTCAGAATTTGCTTTCCTGACTTCAGAACGCTGTAAGATAACTTAGTCATTGTTGTGATTAAAAAGTGTTTTTACTTGTGAGAAAACAAACACGGTTTAAAAAATCTTGACCTCTTTTGGAAAAACTCTGACTTGAAGATTTTAATTGCAGGGAATCTGTTCATAGTGCTATTTTTACATGTATTGGAAAAGTACCAAAGCTAATTTTTTAGAAGAGGAAATTATACTTTAAAATGCACTATTGTGAGAAAGTGACTCCCTAATGTCTTTGAGTTGGTGCTTTGTTTCTCGTTAGAAGCATCTCCTGTCTTCCCTGATGAGCCTGCTCTTGTTTTCAGTGCTGGTTTGCTTTAAGATGCTTTTGATCCTGTATTCATTAAAACCTGATCCTGCTGCTTCCCACCAGCCCTAATGGTCTGTGAAATTATTTTCCTTTCTCCAAGACACTGTTAACTCTGCTAGCACCTGCAGAGTGGAGGAGCTCAGAACATTGTCAAAAGTCCTCTGATTTATTCAAACCAGCTTTTCTCCACAAACAAGAATTAATCTTCAATATTATCACAGCAATGTTCCTCAGTGGAGAAGTGGGAATGGACTGCAACAGAGTCTGAAGGTTTTTATCACTCCTGTTTTCCCCTTCTACAGGTACAGAGAGATAATTGGACAAAAGACTTGAAAATCGAGGGTAAGATTCACTCTGTATAAGAGTATGGAAGTATGAATGAGCATGAAGGGCTCAAACAGCTGCAAAAATAATTTTTTAAAAAAAGTAAATCAAGTAAGAAAAAAGTAGGGAACAACAATGAAGAGAAGTGATGTAGAAAAAAAAAACAACCAACCAAACCATAAAAATGCATTTTCAGTCTGGACCTCGCAGGGAATAACAGTTAAGGGAAAGGCAGAGTTTTTAACATATCCACAAACTAATAATTTTTCACTCAGCATCAAGATTTATAACTTGATGACCGTTTAGCCTTATTCTATTTTTTAATGCTGGTGGAAAAGAGGAGAGCTCTCCAAATCTGTACTTTCAACACAATGATAAAGATTAATATTAGCTGTCAATGTGTATTTTATCGCACAAATTTTAGCAAGTATTATGACTTAAATATTGCTACTCCAGAACATTCTTTCAGAACTGAACTGCTTAACGTAAGAGCTAATCAGTCCTTTGGTTTTGCCTTCTCATTAGCAACGTCCTGGCATTAAGTTACTGCAACCAAAATGGCAGTAATGAGTATTCAGATGTTTAATTTCATTTCAAGACTCACTCGGTTATTGCCTAGAAAATTGTTTTCTAGAACAGGGATTTCAAAACCAAGCGTTCAGGAGCCATGATGACCAACAAAAAGGAAGGTTGTCCATGCAATATTTTGGTCCTGTTGTAGAGAGCTGTATGCTGCAGTCTTCAATTGCACGATCCCATTATCTTGAACCTGATTTCCTAAAGAGACAAAGCTTATGTTGTCGATGTGTCTATCCTCCTGCCCTCAGTGACTTCTAATTCAGCAGCGTTCTCCAACGGAATTTTAAAAAAAGGAGTCACAAAGTTCATTGTGTTCTACCACACTCCGTTAAAAGTAGGGGTTGGATAGAGAAAAGGGATCTTCCCAAGTGCTCCAAGACCTTACACACCAGTTTCATAAACGCATCCGCGTGGGGTTAGAAACTCTGTGAATATGCCGTGGCGAGAGCTGACATGGGAACCACAATCAGCCACAAACCTCACATCTGGAGGAAACCAGGCACTGCTGATTCCAGCACTTACAGAACCTTTTTTTCACTGGACTGTGCTGTCCCTTTCTGTGACTGGGTAAGTTTATACGTGATTAAATGTTATATATAAAAAAAAAAAGTTATATAAAAAATGTTAAATGTTATATAAAAAAATGATTAGATGTTATATAAAAAAAAAATAAATGTTGCCTCCTGTACCTGTATGGTATGGGTACCCAAGCTTTATGTAACTCACACTTCCTAAAGTATTTACTGACTGCAAAATTAATTCATTTCTTCCTGGGCATTTCCTCAATGACCAGATAAGAGTGTTTTGCTGCTTAGAAATATCAATGAAGCCATCTTAACTGGTACCCCTGTGACTTTAAGTGATAATACTTCATGATTATTATATACATCTATATTAGACAAGAAGGGAGAAGAGAATCTTAGAATTTATCAAACCAGGGAAAATAAAGCTTATGTCAAAGCTCCACACTAACTTAAAAGTGCCCAACTTGATATATCCCGTGCCTCATTATTTAGAGAAGATGGTAATTCAGTTGTATTTAGTGTGTTCAGACTGAGTTTTCCATCTCCCCAGGGGTGGCTGTGAACACTCCCCTTTCTGCAGATCTAGTCTAGCTGTTCGTACAAAAATAAAAAACTTACTAATCGTTGAAATTCTTTGGGTGACTGGATTGCCACACGGGTCCTAAGGCAGGGGCAGAACCTGCTAATCCAAACTGGTGGTGTTTCTTAATCCCAAAACAAGGATTATTTTTTTTTTTTCCTGCCACACTCACTGTTAAACTAATTAACAAATTATAGCCTATCACGTTCAATGACCGAGATCTCTCAAGACCTTGGGAGAATGTGACGCTGTAATTCTGAGAATAAACTAAATCAGAGCAGGCTGCAAATTTGTCTGGAAAGCAGCCTCAGCTCCTCAAAGCTGATAAGGACTAAGAGAGGCAGCCTTTGCCTGGAAAACCATTTGCATTGTTCTGAGAAGTGATTTTTAGAACTTCAGCTAATGAATGTCAGGCAGTCATGCTGCCAGAGGACACAAATTCAACTCTACTTTTTCCACTTCCTCAGAAACTGGAGACAGTGATCCCTACTGTTTTGAGTGTACTTGAGAGGGTTGAGATTTTTATTGCTTTGCAATGTTTAATTTTAGGTGGGAAATCGTCCTTTGGAGGACAGTTTTCTGCTATCAGTGGGAAGAGGCCATTACAGACAGGCCTGGTATGCCCTCTGCTCGTGTCCCAGGGCTGCTGCAAGATTCCTTAGTGTCGTTAGACTGGCTATTAGAAAGGAGAAACTGCAACATTTGATTAAGCAGTGTGGGGTGCTGGTGCCACCTGCAAAGCAAATCGCAGTGTACGAGGGCTGTTATGGAAATCTGTCCTTGCTGTCCCCAGAATTATGGATGCCTGTTAAACTATTTCATTTCATTCCCATTTTCAAGTTTCAAACAAAAGACTCAGCACTCGTTCCAAGCGATGGAAGGTTTCCATGACTGACCTGGCTGGATTTTAACTTGTATGGATTTTTCAGCATCTGGTCTGTGCTAATAGAACCGCTCCTGGGAATGCCTGATGCTGCACATCCCTGCTGCTCGTGGAGGCACTGAAGACCTGGTAAAGAGCCTGAACTTACTTCCAGGAAAGAAAAAACATACCACCACCCGCCCTGACTCTGGCAGGCTGGTCCCTGCACTCTCCTATCAAAACATCTCTGCTGAATGAGTCAGGATATTTCAACGAGTACTGTGTATGAAAACCATGCTGTCTTCTGAACAATTTTTTTTTTTTTCTTCAACACAGGTTAATTGCTGATTAAAAACTTCAGAAAGAGGCTGTGGGCTTACCAAAGTAGCTGAAATGTGATGATGAAGAAGGTAGGAAAAGCATTCTGGATCCTCTATATGCATAAATATACTGCAAGAATGAAAATGACATTGCAAGCACTGTGGAAAAACACAGGAAGAGAAAGGAAAAAAAAAAAAGCCATACGGCCATTTTTGCTAGTTTAATTCTGAAGCCTTAAATGCAATCTTCATCATAATTTTTTTTTTTTTCCTTAAAATATTTAAACCAAATACCTCATTCCAGTGTGACATAGAGCAACAACTGACTGTCTCAGTTTCAGTCTGAGGCAGTTACTGGTTTTGCTGTTCTTTACTTGCATTCCTGGCTCGCTGTTGCTGCAGTTCTATTACTTACAGACTGTAAATTGATTATTATAGAGTATCTATTTCAAACGCATCTCCTGCCCCTATCAGCCTTACAAACTTCCTACTACTAGTCAGCATAAACCTACTACATGCTGAAGTGGGACTCTAAAGCTAGCACATCTTTTCCCTGATGGGTGCTATTTTGATTCTCATGTGCTTTTCAGTCCACGAAATCTGTTAGGAATTCCCGTTTCCTTTGCAAGACTCTGGAATCCCACAGGATAAACTCTGATTTATTTTATTTTTTATCCTCTGATGCGGAAAAATCACCAACTTTTAACCGAGTGGCACAGCATAAATCTTAGTTGTTCTTGAGGAATCACCATTAGGGTTGGGTTTTTAATTGGTATCTTCAAGACTGGCAATTCATTGATTTTAATAACTTCCTTATGCCTTAAATTGTCATTTGAGTGTGAGTCTTTACTATCCTCTGACCAGAAAATTATCAGTGTTACACAATTATATCCCCCCCCTACAAAATATACACGCACACGCTATCATCTACCTTATTCTATGCACTCTCTAAACATTTGGGTTTTTTTTTTTTTAAACATCTGCTGATGGAGTTGCAGAAGGAGCTCGTAAAAACAAGGAAGATGAAAGGAAAAGGAACACAGCTGCCAAGTTTTCCCCCCTGTGGATGCCTTGCCTCAGTTAGCTATGAAATAAAACTTCACCTTTCTTAGCTGATACATCAACGAGTTCCTCCTGGAGGGACAACAGGCACAAACACTGCAGCAATGTAATCTGTTTATTCTCCTCTCCCCGGAACCTCCAAGAACTGACAAGGTTCCTAGGAGAATTCTGGCAGAAATGTTTTCAAAACTGTCGACTGTGACGCCAGTGGCTGCTGCTGTGCAGGATGCCAGCTGCTTGTGTTACATGACGACATGAGGACATGCAGGTGTGCACATACTTCTTTATACTGATGCTATTTGTAACGGAGGCCGTTCTGCAGAAGAGATGGGGATTGTCTTAAATCTTCTAACGACTTTGCTTCAGCTGACGGTCAAAAAGAAACAGAATAAAAATGGAGGAAGACCTCGATTTCCACATTATGTTTTTACTGTAAGCACAAAGACTCTAGAAGTACAGTTATATCGCTAATTAAACAGGAACTGCTTTTTTGGGTTGTTTTTCTCCTTGTATTTCTTGAAAATTACTGAAATAAGGGTTCCCCCTGCTGGTAATTGGCTGAGTCATAGACGGACTCAAGGTTGGGACTCTGGAGCCAACAAAAAGTAGAAGAAAATGGAATCTCCTCATAACTTCTCAGTCTAACTCTCATGTTTTGCATTTGCAGGGCTTTGTCTAAGGCACTTAATTAACTAATCTCCCACTCAACTGATTTCCCTTCCTCTTCTACTCAGAGAAAGACCAGTCACATCTGTGAAGGAAGGAACAAACACAAGCGTTCCCTTTAGTAAGTCCTTGGTAAGTCAACCCAAACTCCAAACATGACCCAGTGGGTGTTCAAAGCACCTCCCGTCTTGGCTGCGAAGGGCCACGTTTGACACTTTACAAAAACTTTTCATTTTGGAAAATCTGGCATTATTTTCTGGGAAAGACAGACAGATTAAGCACACAGGACTAAAAAGAACAAGGTAGTGCTTTTTATTTAACTAGATTTGCACCCTTTAATAAACTGGAGAATATCTAGAAAAAAAAACAAAACAAAACCAGACAAACTGAGTTGTAGCAGAACTGGTAAAGCCCAGGCTGTTGGTGGAGACCCGGGGCGCTGTGCTTTAATTCCCTGAAACCTCTAAAATGTTTATAGGTGCACATGCTACCACGGAACGCTTCCTTCTTTCAGTAAGCAAACTATAACTTGCTAGCAGTAGTTAAGAATTCCTTTGCACAGCCATACCCTGGGTGTTCCGCAGTATCTGGATAAACTAGAATAAGTTCTGTCAACACTTTGTTTGTTACTAATCTCTCACTTGAAGACAGAAAGCCTTTCCTGACACTTCACCAGAAATTCACGCATTGCCTCTGAAGACACTTGAGCTGTTTATTAAAAAAAAGAACAAAGCCAAAAAAACTATTAAACAGAATTATCCCTCTGCAAAAGGTGCCTCGAAGAGGAGCTACCATTTCTCATCGGAAAAAGTAACACAGGAGATGAAAACTTGATTGGATCCTAACCCAGTTCCTTTGGAGTTTACTTGTCTTTATTTAGAGACAGCTGAACTTGAACAGCGACATACACCACAAACCACCAGGCAGGCTTCTCAAAATGTGGTAACCAGTCTGTCACTGGGGAGAGGTATTGCAGCAATCCTCCCGACAGCTCAGGGCTGGGGACCTGCTTTGTGGCAGCGTTGTTCAAACTGTCCAAGAAAAGCCAGTGCTGATTTGAAAATAGCTTCTTGAATTGGTTTTGTAGCCTCCTCTGGGATCTTGCAGTACATGAGGTCTGGAGAGAAGACAGCAAGCTGTCCAAGGAAATCCAAAGGATTCAGACTCAAGGTAGGTACAAAAGCTGCCTTTGTTTTAAGAAATTCGTATTGACTAAGAGTCAGAGGTGCAGCAAGAACCAAGTTGGAGCAATACCAGGAATAGGCTTTAGAGCTAAAGTGGGTCAAGGGAGCCTGCAGCAATCAGGAGAGAGAAAATCTCCTTTATTTTCTTTCTTCTTGGCAGACTGATCTTTAAATCTGTGCTCTGAATACAGACAAGTTGAAGATATTGGTAAAGACAGATCTTGGCTTAGAAAATAGACCTTGGGAAGCTCCCAACTTCATTCTCTCTGCTGGTCCTCTAGGCTGCTGCAGCGTGGGCAAGGGGACAGACCTGGGGCTTTGAGCAAGTTCCCTTGAATCTACAGTGGCTTCTTTTCAGTGGTTAAGAAGAGAATTAACAAAGTCTTTGTTTTTTCGGTTGGTTTTGTGGTGGTTTTTTTCTTTGTTTTGGTGGTTTGGGGGTGGTGTTCTTTTCTTTAAGACTCAGTTTCTTCTAAAGCTACACCTAGACTTGGGGCGAAAGGGGGAGAAGAGTTCAGAAAAGCAGTCTCTGTACAGAGAAAAGGCAATTTGGCTTGAGATGCTGTAAATAAAAAGGAGATCACCGATAACAAACGGACAGCACAGCGGAGAAAGGCTGCTGCTATCTCACTCCCTCAGTTTCTGATCATCTCCTTTCTCAAGAGCTTTAGCCAGTATAGAATTATTGCTATTAAACAATTCTGCTTCTGTGGAATCGAAACAGAGCTAATTCCCTTTTGATCTGTAGCACACTCGCTAGAACAGACTAGTTTGTTACAGCAATGACTCAAATATTCTGAACAGGCAACCTGTTTGAACAGAAATTCCAAGATTATCACAAGGAAGTGGACGGTTGAGGGAGTAAGTGATCCATAATGCATTTTTCAGGTGTTTGTGTTTGCACAGTGATGTGGGAGCTGGGTCTAATCCTAGATTACTAATTTAATAGAAGGGAAAACAAGTCTGCAAAATGAATAGAATTGAGAGCTCGCCTAGAATACTTCTGCTGCTTTTGGTTGCTGAGTTTGAGACTTGATTAAGTTTAAGATAGTGCTGAGAGAGAGAGGAACACAAGTCCTATAAAAAGAGAGCAAAGATAGTTTTATGATTAAATCACCCAGAAGATAATTCTTATCTCTGCCACAGCGTTCATGAACAAGTCATGCAATTTCTCTGCTCCCTTTTATAAAACAGAAATAGTAGTCATTACCTTAGAGATACTGGGAAGTGTAAACTGTCTTCAGGGAAGGGAGAATCTCCACGCAGTAGCAGATGCCAGCGCGGAGTGTTTGTCAGGCAGCACTCATGGAGTTAAGTCACAGAAGCTTTTACTTCAGGCTTCTCTACTACTGAGGACATGTTTGTTTACTACTTATCCCTTGACCTTTAAGACAATGGAAGTTAGCAAAGAGGTGAAGGTGACAGAGAAAAACCCTTTAACAGCCTCGGGTTTAGTTTTGCAAGGAACGCGTTGTTTGAGGAGAACTGTAGGATAGTAAGATTAATGAAAACCAAATTTGTGGCCAAAAAAGTTGTAAAGAAACGCTGGAGGGGTGGAGGAAGCAGGGGATGAGAGAGAGAGACTTACAACGGGCGCTCAGGAGAGAGATCAAGATCCCATCTGGAGGGGCAAAAGGCCAAAGCCACAGAACAGATGGAGACCAAGCGACAGCTGGTAGAAACATGCTTTCATGTGTAAAGTTTGCTCTTTGGAGAATTTTGCTCTCCAACTCTGAAGGCATCATTATGGTAATAACTCCTCCCAGTACAACACTGGGGAGCCAGCCTGTGCCCAGGAGCGGGTGTTCCAAGGCTCATCGTGATGGTGGTTAATTAACGAGGGCCCTTTCAACGTTTAGAAGCCCTTGTCACACAACCTTGGCATGGTTTTAGCAGCAGAGGGTCCCCTTCCTTCATTAGCGGAGGGGATGAAAAGAATTCATTTGGGCTCCACTGGTTAAACAGGTTTCCTGTAAACTTTGACATATGCCAAGAGTTGCTTCTGGTTTAGAAGAGCTGGGGTGAAGGATGTGACACATCTCGGTGGTCACACACGTGACCTTAACGGTAGAACGTCCAACTGGCTGCTCCACCAAACCAGTTCTGGAAAAACCATACGAGCAGTCAGAAAATAGGGTGGTCTTCAACACCAGCCTTTAATCCAGGGATCTTTCCAGGCCACACCAAAGAACTAACATAATTCTACAGCTAGTCCTCTCCTTGGAGGGAAGTGTGCTGTTTCTCCCCAAGATCAGCCAACAATACTTAAATTAAAGTTCTGGAAAAGTGGCCATTGTATCTTTTTCTTTAATAAAGATATGAACGGGTTTTTTTTTTTCCTGTTAAGGCAAGAATTTCATCCTGCTGCTAGGATCTAGTAATGCAGCTTTGATTACAGGAAAAAAAAAAAAAAAAAGCTTAATTACAGTTAAAACTAAAGTATTACATTTTTAAGACAATTTAGAAATAAAAAACTAAAACAAAAAAATCCAGACACTCCCCTTCTGATTACCTATCCTGAGTCCAGTTTCATAACAGATTTTGAGGTACAAGACAATAAATTAAAAGTTCATTCCAACTGCAGAGATCAACCATTTCCTCAATGCGATGTCTTCTTCACTCCCTTCCCAAATTTGGCATCGAGTCCAAGGCCTGCAAAGAGACAAAATAATCTGTGTGCACAGAAAATATCTTCAAGTTCTTCCTACAAACATAAGCCAAGGAACTCTGTGAAAAAATCAGCTTAACAGCACCGATTTATGAACGGTCAGAGGCAGCGACTTCACCAGTGTGGGGGGAAAGGAGCACGTAGATCTGGTGGAAGTCACGTTCCCCTTTCCCTGGTACTAACACACTGTTCCAACGAGTATTCTAATATTTTTTTTTTTTTTTTGACCAGCATCTTTTGTCAGCTCTCCTTTTCTTAACAGGGGCCAGGCCTCAGGTGTTTTGCTTCTCAGACTTACCCAAGAACACCAGGACTGTCCCCACCCACTGCGTGGTACTGATGGGGTTGGCAAACAGAATGACGGACGCTAAAATGGTGAAGAACTTGCGGGTTGTGGTGATGATGGAGCAAGTCAGAGGCCCGAAGTATACCACAGTCATGAAAATAAAACTCTGTAAAAAACAAACAAGGTGCCTTCCGTCACTCGGACTGAAAAACAGTACAACATGGGTCATATTTTCAGGTGAAAAGTCATCAAGCCAGAGAAACGAATCTTACTTCAAATCCAGATTATTTACATACAAACTTAAACCAGTTTTACCCCAAAGGCAGCCTGTACAGAAAGCAAGGAACAGCCAAAGTGACAGAAAGTGAAGCTGCCTCACTCTGCTGTCTCCCAGCTGGGCAAACACATCCCTGCGAAGGCTGAGTGACAAGGGAGGTGTATTTGGCCCCTCACCCCAAAAAGACCATTGAATGACTCGAGCGTGGCCAGAGAAGGGCAACGGAGCTGGGGCAGGGTCTGGAGCACAGGTCTGCTGGGGAGCGGCTGGGGGAACTGGGGGGGTTCAGTCTGGAGAAGAGGAGGCTGAGGGGAGACCTCCTGGCCCTCTGCAACTCCCTGCCAGGAGGGGGCAGAGAGGGGGGATGAGTCTCTGGAGCCAAGGCCCCAGCGCCAGGCCCCGAGGGAATGGCCTCAAGCTGCCCAGGGCAGGGTCAGGCTGGCTCTGAGGAAGGATTTCTGTGCAGAAGGGGCTGTTGGGCGTTGG